AGGAATGACTGACAGAAAATATGACTTAAGTGTACATAGTAAGTACAAAGAAGCTCAGTAAGTCTATTCATTGGCTGATATACTCTATAGCATCCTGGATGGGAGATGCAGGCTTTGAGTATTGAGTCTTTTATGTATAGACTGTTATTTTCTCTATATGCACCGCTTCTCTAGATCAGTCTCATCACTTATCCTTCTGTGCCTGACTTCCCATTTCTTACCTTGCTGAAATAAGCATATATTAGATAGACTTTTAGGAAAACATGTACTGAGATAGATAATGGTCATCTGCAAATATTTTTGTTCAATGACATCTCAACTAATATTCTTTGATTCTTTGTTTTCCAAATTAGCTATCTTGGCTAGTATAAACCTAGGCTCCTTAGAGCTTACTGACTCAGCATCAGTTGGTCATGAGTCAGCTTTAATATTCTAATTAATGAGTCATAAATGTCATTAGGAATAGACCAAACATATCCGTTCTCAGGGATACCTATATAATTTGATTGCACATTTTAGGTCCATAGAAGCAATGGTAAAATTAATAGACACATTCTGATAACTTGAATCCAGATAGGGCTCGCACAAAGTACAGTATTAATATCCTGTAGTTTGCAGCTAATGTGTGAGCCAAAGCTCATGAAATCAGAACACAGAAGAGAAAAGGAATCCATCTTAAGTATCTTTTTGTTACCTTATGTTTTATATTTAGAATTAGGATAATTTGTTAGAAAATCCCGCCTATAAAAAGGCCATGAATCCATATTAGAGATTTATCAGCAAAGATGAGTCACTCATAGAAAACCACTCACCTCCATTCGAATAACAATATCAAAGTCATTTATTGCAGTTAGTGGGGAAGAAGTAACATGTACTTCAGAGATGTCACACTACACTACTACTACTGTGACTATTAATGTCATTGATGTGGTTACTCATTTTGCTTACTGTTGACCAAAACATGGAAGTCGTATTAACAATGAACTGTGTAGGATTTGGTGTTTGATATGGATTAGCTACCATCCTTTCCATTTCCTGTTTGTTTTGTTTTTGTCCTACAGCCCCTCCGAGCATCATAGGAAACCACGGGACACCTGAAAATATCAGTGTGGTGGAAAAGAACTCCGTGTCCCTGACTTGTGAAGCTTCAGGCATTCCTTTGCCTTCCATTACATGGCTTAAAGATGGGTGGCCCATCAGCCTTAGCAGTTCTGTGAGAATTCTCTCAGGTAGTAGGACTTCTCATAGTCTCATAACCTGGTTCTCTTCATGTGGCCACAATTTCTCCTTCATTTCTCATTTCTTCCTGTCTTCTATTTCTTTTTGA